AAAAAAAAAAAAAAAAAAAAAAAAAAAAAAAAAAAAAAAAAAAAAAAAAAAAAAAAAAGAATCATCGAGATGTTGTAATCTTTTGCTGACGTTAAGCCAAAGTGGTTCCGATCCCTTTTGTTCATCATTCAATAATTCCACTACGAAACCACTTGTACCTTCGCGCATCAGCTTTTATACTCGAGATTCGGTAAAAAAAAAAAAGAAGAAAAAAAAAAAAAAAAAGTAAAAGTGCAATAAACGTAAGCAACAAATCGTCGTTCCACCCGCGCGATCCAGTAGCCCCGATAAATCACGCGAATATCATCAGGATTCTCCCAGACAACGTCGAAACAAGAGCGGGAATACAACGCGAGGAGATAATATACACCTACGCCGTACACACAACGACACCGACAGCCATAAGCGGGAGGCCCACCCTTGGCCGACTCGGCGACCAATCGCGGGACGTCGGATGGTCAATCAACCCCCACCGACGCACCAATGGGAAGCCGCACCTACAGCAGCAACCCCTGGCGGCAGTGCGCTCGCGTGCACTTCGACACCAGGCAATGAAGACCCCGCGCGGGATATTTTTAATCGTAATTGGTAAGATGTTTTCCAAGTCGTTCGCTCGAAGCGGATTTTTGTGAGGAAAAAAAAAAAACAGGCACCTGTACCGTTTTCACTACACCTGGGAATCCCCCGAATCGCGCGCACGCGTGTAAAATTTTGGTTTCTAGCGGGGGGGGGGGGGGAAGTCGCGACAAACCAAAACGCGTGCAGTCGGTGTATATAGCGCGAAACGCGGGGAGTAGAGCATGAAAAATTGGAAAACACGTACAACGTGTATTATAATATATACGTGTAGGGGGTTTGAGGCGCGCGACGCTCCTGAGCAAAGGGGCGTGTCCTCGAGGCCCGAAATTTCTTCCTTTGCGCGCGTGTACGTCGTGTCTGGTCCTCTATAGTTGTTTTAGCTTACCTTGCAACAACAACACACCGTTTGTGGTTGCATTTTCGCTGAACGTTGACTATACATATATAAATATACCAGTAGTGTCGTCGATGGTGGCTGGTTTCGTCGCATCGAGTGTGCTCGTTTGATAAAGTCTATTATTGTTTTTGATTTTGTTGTAGTTGGTGGTTTTATTTTCGTTTGATTTTCGTGGGCCAACTTTCACTCGGGATATGAATTACCCCGAGCCTATGTGGGAGGCGAGCCAAGCACCTGTAAGTTTAAGAATTCCCGTGTGCCATGCAGTGTTGTTAGTTTGTACTCGGCTGTGCCGTATTTCAGTGATTTTTCAATTTCAATATTTTGCTGCGCTTAACTTTCGTATCGTGAAAACACGTGTTCTTGCAATTTTATGTTTATCCTCGATCGTGCCTCTAACACCGCCGGTCAAAAGTGTCTTACTGACGTTTTAAGCGAATTTCAAACAATGAAAATCGATCTATCGTCAACTACTTAACCAGGAACTTTTACTCAAATATATGTTGAAAACTATTTTTATTTTTTTTTTTATTCAATACATTGTTAAAAAGTATAAAATACTTTAAACGACAAATTTACCTGTTGATTTTTATTATCAAAACAGTTAACTCCATCACAACAATATGCAAAAGTAAATCAAGAACATTTTTTAGTAGTACCTCTCAAGAACTGTTAAGTGTTTAAATTAAAATTGAAAAGAAAAAAAACCAAACTGTCGAGAAAGAGTCATGGTATTGAGCTAACGATACCAAATTGAGCAATTGCCAAAAAAAAAAATTTATGCTGCAGTGTATCAAAACATTTTTGCATCCTTTCATTGGAGTTAACACTTTTGCAAGTGACTTGTTTCAGAAAAAAATTGTTCAATCAGACAAAGCTGGTTACATAGTTGATTGCAGATGAATTCTGTTGTTGTTAAAACGCTTATATATTTTTTGTTTTATGGAAATGAGTAATTTTCAAGTACCCGTTATTAAAATACCCTTGGATTTACACTGTACGTTTTTCTGTACGTAAAACAGAGTTCGTATATTTTCCCCCAAAAATCGAGTTCTTGGGACATTATCTAAAAGGTGACGATTTTTTTTTTTTTTTTTTGCCGACACAGGTAATAACAACGAGCACGGACATGACGACGTACATGGGAAACGAGATGAGCAGCTACCCCGTGTGGGACAACTCGGCGATGTATCCGTCGGTGCCGGCAGTCCCGCACCCACACGTAAATGGACACGAGAACGGGCTTTACAGACAACCCTGTGCCCTCTTGCACCAGAGGTGAGACAATCGTTTATTCCAATCACGGGGTAAATGCGAATGAGCCACCACTTGTAGCTTAACAATTAATCTTGCAAAATTAAACTTTTTTGTGGGATGTGATTTTTTTTAAGATAAATCCACAAGTGGTGTTGGTAAGCAATTTTAAAACAAATACATCATTAATAATTCAATTGGCCATTTTTTTTCTTTGGTGCGGTTTACGCAAGAAATATATACTATACGGAGAGCAAAACATTCGTCATTTAGCCGTCGTGTCTCAAGTTTTTTTTGTGAAAAACCATGTTACTCGAAGAAACAGATTTAGTCAGTCAATGAAAATACTCGTGTAATTTATAATGTAAAATAAGATTTTATATATGGTTAATTTTCAAACATCTTCGGGGTAAAAAAAGACAATTTGTCAATTAAAAAATAAATTCAATTAACACATTTTAAATCCAAGTTTGTAAAACTAACACGTTTAAGGTGTGTATTTCGAATCCACACTCATGATAAAATGTTGAATGATGGTATCACAAAAAAAGAGTTAAAATAATCCTTTGCAACGTTTCTATGACGCAATTTTCATCCGCCTATAAGTTTAAATAACACGTACACACATATACAGTGCACACTTAANTTTTTTTTTTTTTTTTTTTTTTTTTTTTTTTTTTTTTTTTTTTTTTTTTATTCCGGCAAGTCAAGAGGAGATGAACATCTCTTATCGCTGGGCCGACAAATAAGACCCGACTTCCATCTACCTAGGGCTTCCCGTATAATGGCGATATTTATTTTGTACTTGAATTGATCATCCCTCGAAGAATTATAAACTAGCTTTTCTTCGAGCTGGAAAAAAAAATTGTAAAATGTTTTATTGTTAAAGTATTTCATTTACAGAAAGACTCGATTATTTTATATTTTTAGATTGGCTCTGATTAAATTTACTCAAACAAACGTCATCGTGTGATAATAGACTTGAGCATAATTGTTTTAGAGATATTGAGCACACCGACATACTTTTTTTTCTTCCTACCATGTAATGCAGTATTTTAATTGGGTTATTTTCATAACAAATCACTACTTAGGATACGGTACCTAACAAAAATTGTTTCAGCAAAAAACGGTGATACGCATTGGTCAAAAACTCAATTTATGCTAGCATTTGAGCGAATTTTGAAATACTTTGACATACCCTTTGCCTCAATTTTTTTTCTTCGTAATTACAGTGAATTGTTTGAACTAAAAGTTTTTGTTAAAGCACTATTTTACAAATTGCAATAAAAAAAAAAAAAAACGTTTTCGTTGTATATAAATAATCCATTATATTGAAAAAAAATTGTAAGCCACAGTATTGAAAAACTAATCCACACCCAAGTTTTGTACTAGGAATGACAATTTTTAACCTTCCAGCTCAAGTTAAATGCTACAACCACCCCTACGGCGGTAAATTACTGAATTACTCGATTTCTTAAGTAACCGTGTACCATTAAAATACTCATCTATACATTTGTGAACTGAATCATTGTTTCAAAAGTGATAAGCGAGAGACGCACTAATTGTTGCAAGTGTAAGAACGCCTGTCAGTGAGATTTCATTAATTTCAGTCGATACACGCAAAATGGACGATCTCCCAACGTACCCACGTCGACGACGAAAAAGCCAAGACGCAGGGTGGCGACGGTGTCCCAAAGAAGGGCGGCCAACATTCGCGAGAGACGCCGAATGTTCAATTTGAACGAAGCCTTCGACAAATTGCGACGAAAGGTATGCACTTGTATACCATTACCAAAATTATTTTCAATGGTGTTTGAGCCACCCACGAAATTTATGCAAAAAAAATCCTCATGTACGTTTTTTTTTTTTTTTTCCTATCTTCAACTGCGCAGGTGCCAACTTTTGCGTACGAAAAGCGTCTGTCGAGAATCGAGACTCTTCGTTTGGCGATAACTTACATCGCATTCATGGGCGAGCTATTGCAGGGACTGGAATCCAACACCTCCAAACAGGACTACATTCCCCGAGAATATTACCTACCAACGAGTTAAAGGTGCTGCGGTGAATGATCCTGTAATCGGTGGCTAATTTTTGGAAAACTATGGTTAATTTTTATGCACTGAGAGAATAAAGTAATTAATTTAAAAAGAAACTTCAGCAAAAATTACCTCTCCGCACGGTAAAAGAAAATAATTATTTATTTTAATTGTACAAATTATTGTTTTAACAGTTTAAATTGCAGTTTGAGTAGTTAGAATTATGGTTGGAACAATAAAAATTAGTATGCTGTAAATATGTTGAAAACTATTTTTATTTTTTTTTTTATTCAATACATTGTTAAAAAGTATAAAATACTTTAAACGACAAATTTACCTGTTGATTTTTATTATCAAAACAGTTAACTCCATCACAACAATATGCAAAAGTAAATCAAGAACATTTTTTAGTAGTACCTCTCAAGAACTGTTAAGTGTTTAAATTAAAATTGAAAAGAAAAAAAACCAAACTGTCGAGAAAGAGTCATGGTATTGAGCTAACGATACCAAATTGAGCAATTGCCAAAAAAAAAAATTTATGCTGCAGTGTATCAAAACATTTTTGCATCCTTTCATTGGAGTTAACACTTTTGCAAGTGACTTGTTTCAGAAAAAAATTGTTCAATCAGACAAAGCTGGTTACATAGTTGATTGCAGATGAATTCTGTTGTTGTTAAAACGCTTATATATTTTTTGTTTTATGGAAATGAGTAATTTTCAAGTACCCGTTATTAAAATACCCTTGGATTTACACTGTACGTTTTTCTGTACGTAAAACAGAGTTCGTATATTTTCCCCCAAAAATCGAGTTCTTGGGACATTATCTAAAAGGTGACGATTTTTTTTTTTTTTTTTTGCCGACACAGGTAATAACAACGAGCACGGACATGACGACGTACATGGGAAACGAGATGAGCAGCTACCCCGTGTGGGACAACTCGGCGATGTATCCGTCGGTGCCGGCAGTCCCGCACCCACACGTAAATGGACACGAGAACGGGCTTTACAGACAACCCTGTGCCCTCTTGCACCAGAGGTGAGACAATCGTTTATTCCAATCACGGGGTAAATGCNAGTAACGGGAGAACAACAACTGAACCCTTTACCCCTCATTTTTTAGAAACCTAATGTATTAAGGGTACTAATGTTTTATTTTTTTTAGTCATTACAGCACTAATGATGACAAGATTAGTAATAATACGAATATCAAAAAATATATTTTACGAGTAATTAATATTAAAATAATAATCATAATAATAATAGCTAGTATATATATATATATATAATTGAGATATCATTGAATGTATAAATATACGAAATAAATTGAATACTTCGATGCTGTGTATTACTTTAATGATTACTTAAACTCTATCATAGTCTTTAAAAAGTTTGCATCACGTGCTTGATGATGGTTTAACGTAATTCCTTGATTCGTCAAGACATACTCTCGTGGCAATTATTTCGGTCAGATTGGAAAATACAATATATCGTATATTTACAGTGTATTTACAATGCATAAGCGTCATTTATGTACTTTTTTAGTTTTTATTAATTCACGAAATCCTTTTCTTCAGCGACAATGATAATTTTGTCTGTTGTCATCAATTTCTCGATCTCCTTCATTTCTACGTCTTTTTCCTGGTTCTTTCTGTCAAAGTTTGGATCATTCCACTCTTGAACTTCACCACTACCAAAAATAACGAAAATAACATTCGTAATCATACCCACGGCAAAAATGGTCCAATACACGAGTCGCCATTCGCTAAGAGTTTGATTCGGTACCATTACCCCGACAAAGTATGGTCCAGCAATACCGCACAACCCTGTAAATTTTTTTTTTCAATTTTATTACTAAAAATACTTTAGTTTTTATTTATAGTAATAAATAACGAAAATCGAATAGTTTTGTCTTTACAAAAAATTATGAATTGTTGAGACCAAAATAAAAGAAAAGATGAGGATTTTTTTGACTTATTCCATAGAGAAAGAAAAAACTTCTATAATGTGGTAGCCCTCATATTTTCGGTCTCGTTTATGTGACATGAAACTTTCTTTTATTTAAAAAAAAATTTATATTCATTTGTTTTATTATGTCTCAAAAATTTTGAAACAACAGTAAATCTAAATTACAGTGGTTTGAAAAACAACGTAGAAATATCCGAATTGTGCGTTGCTATTTTAATTTTTTTTGATTTTATTTCGACACAGCTGAGGGTTACTTGATAGGTTACCTACGCAAAAAAGTATCTCAAAGCTTAAAAAATTATATACGTCAAAATAAACTACGAATGAAAAATCGATATTTCATGTGAACATCGTTTTTAAACTTTTTTTTAAAAAAGCTAAAATATTGCAACGATATTATTAAAATACTAATTAATGTATCTACACTATCATATACACAGTATGCTACAACATGATTAGTATACGTTAAGTACTTGGTTTTTCTAAAAGTAACATTTGTTTAAAAAAAAAAAAATTTTCTTTTAGCAAATATAAGAACAGTCGATTGTATCCGTTGTAGTGTCAATTTAATTTTTTGGTCGTTTAAAGTTTGTAAAATTCTTTTAAATGATTAAATCAGTTAATTCTATGTTAAAATATCTTGCTCAAAAAATGTGTATCCCAATTATTTTTGTACTTAAATTAAAAATTTTAATAATGCATAACTTAATTTTATATTTTGAATATATCACTTCAAATTCATATTACATTATGAATATATAGTTTGAAATACAATATTTCACGGCTTTGTCGTGTTTTCCAAATTTATTACCTT